ACCGTTAGTATAAACTTTAGTAACGGAATATTCTGTTAACTATTTATTATTTTTAACTTACTCATTAATTTCTATAAGAAAGGTCTTAGGTTCGAACCCCATCCCAAGTAGAGTTGACATAATTGTTAAACATATACTACGAATATGTTAAAATGCATTAAAAAATATATAATATAAAATTTAATATAAATTAATTTTGATCAAATAATTAGTCTGACTAAATACATAATATTCAAAGTTAAACATCAAAGTTTATAAATCAAGAACTTTAAAAATCCTTTGATTTTTATGCAATTAAAAAAAATTAGGTTAATTTTTTTTCTTCGTTAAATTATATTAATCTTCTTTTGATTATTTAGATCAGAACAAAATTAATGTTTCAATTATACTTTTGCATTATTAGTATGATTTAGGTCGTTATAGTATTACTATTTTTTGTATGTATTTTTATAATGGTACAATTGTACATTACTTTACAAATATTATATTATTATTTTTTTATCGGACAAAATTGTTCTTACATCATTGTCATACCTGCGCGACCCCTAACTACAAAGTTGTTGATCATAAATATAATTACACCTGGACTCTAAAACGGTAGGACCATTTTCCAAAGAATTGACAATGTTGACATCCCACTAGCTCCAATTAAACAAGTTTACACATCAGAGTTTTATCAATGCATGAAAACTTCTAAAGAAATTTGTAAGTTAATTTTTACTATATGATTATAACAATATCTATTGTAACTATATATTTTGAATTATTTATTATCATCATGTATTGACAGGAATTGTAACAATTGTCATTGACAAACTCTCAAAACAATTTGTCTCAGCAACGAATGTAAATTAAAAAAAATCAATGATTTCATTATTGTTGATGAAAAGTATGTACGCCACTTTATTACTCTTATTAAATTAAATAAATTAGTAGCTACAATAAAAAAACAAGACATACGCATTTAATTAATTTAGAATTAGATGTCTATAATGCCTTTATTTTAAAAAATTATTCATTATAAAAAAATTTAAAAAGAGATAATTTCATTAGTTATATTATGTTTGTTTTCTACAATTCAAAGATTCATTACCTTCAAATTTATTAATTTATTATATTCATTACATTGTTCATTGTCTTCTAGCTTTTTACATTATCTTGTAATTAAACATCAAAGTTATAATACAAAATATGTTATATATATTTATTTACCAAGTATTTTATACAAATATAATAAATATTAATATTTTGTTAAATACTTTCACATGATAACTTATGACACACATCTCACAATGCATGAAACATGTAGGGGAAAAACTGCCACTACCAAATATCAATAGGTGCTTGTAAGATAAAGAGTTAATAGTACAACTAAGATCCCATCATATACAGGCAAATCTAAAGCTTCCTACACCATAATCTCATTGCACGATGTATCCATCTTGCTACCACCAGTAACCAAATTGAACATGACACACTACCAATAAAAAAAAAAAAAAACAAAAATGAGGACATGTACTGAAGATGAAAACGATGACAATGCTACCCAAAAGAGAATTAAGAAGAATTAAAAAAATTTAAACAAAAAATAGCATTTATTTCGAGTATCGATTTAGACTAATTAAGTATTTAGTACTTTAAATGACCGATTTAAATAAACAAATTCGATATTTATTTACCTATGCATGAACATATCTGATATAATATTGTATTGATATACTTTGAAATACTTATTTAAAAATAACCATTGGGTATTATTCCATTCGTGCAAAACGCGTAAAAAAACTAGTTTCGTGAGACATCTCTTTTAATCTGTAAATAATTACAAATAATGATCATCACTTTTTGTTTTATAAGAATCATCAATGTATTTAATAATTTGTGATATATATGGTATCAAATTAAAGACTTATATTTGTTTGGACTATTGAGTTTATCAATAAGTACAACAAATTCTGTTCCCTAATGCATCATTTACTACAAAATTTGTGTTAGAAATAATGCTAGGTACCAAATTGAAACCAAATAGAATTAAATTAATTAGCACATTATTATTAGTAAAAATGTAATTAGTTTTACTTGCCCAGTTAATAAATATAAATGAGTAATAAATATTGAAACCAAATATAATTCTTTGATGACATGACATGCTAACATATCAACAAAAAAAAAAAAAACAAAAACAAAAACAAAAACAAAAACAAAAAAAAAAACAAATTAAAATTTCACTACAGGCAGAATGTGCTATTTAACTATTGCTCAATTAATAAATGAGTAATAAATATAAAAATGTCAATATATTTGTGTAATCACAAAGATAAAATTAGTTAAAAAATGAACAAACTAAATAATTAATTTCATTACTCCGTATACAATAAATTACTATGTAGAAAGAGGCAGACCAATTACCTAGCTAGCTAGGAAGATATTAAAGAATATAATGTGTACTGGCAGATCAGAGAGCATACAGATAGATCAGAGCATGTGCATGAAGTTGGGTTCCCTAATTATGGCATGAAAATGATGAAATTAAATGGCACACACTCATTTGTCGACTAAAGAAGACAGAAACACTCCATATGGAACGTGATTGGGTGAGAGGGTGGGGGATAATGTAACTCAAATCCAATTGTTGGTTATATGTATGACTCTACAATCCAATAGAGTTAAAACATAATTTAATCTTCGACAATAATTGGTTTTCTTGATTTAGTTCTAATTATCTTTTCGTGTTTAATTGGGGTCTTTGGCTTCAATGATTTTATCTAATTAAGTCCTCAGTTGTTAGAATCAATGACTAAATCGAGAAAACAAATACTATAGTCGATGATTAAATTGAGTATTAATTACTATAGTCGATGACTAATTTAGGCAAAACGACTATATATAGTCGAAGACTGAATTGGATATTAATAGAGGAAAATTACCAAGTTGCAGTTATAAATGACTCAATTAGGTAAAATCATTGAAGTTGAGAACCCAATTAAACACAAAAAGAAATCCATGACTAAATTGAAAAAAAAAAAAAAAAAAAAAAACTACTATAGTTGAGGACTAAATTAGGTACTATCTTTCATAAATATGGTAACAAATTAAATCAACCAGACTATTATTTACATAGATAGGATTGTATGTCTTCGGTTAATTTAGGAAACTAAGTACTAAAATTTGTTAATTGATTACAAATTTATTGGGTGAGTTCCAAACATGGTACAATCCTTCATAAATATGGTAAGAAATCAATCAAATTATTATTTCCATAAATAGGAAATTGTACGTGACCTAAAATTCTGAGGCTAGGATGACAACGAGAATAATGAGTTGGCCGATGACAATCATGGAACCCGATTCTCACCCATCACCAATAATTTCACTTTCTCTTGTGTTAAAGTCTTAATGAATGAGTAAATTGTAAAATATGTTCTGTAATAAATTTATACAATATCTTAATTCTTTGATAGATTTGGACCTATGTACTATGGTTGCTAGTGAAACAAACTACAAACTTCATTGTAAATTGATTAATTAATCGAGATAAATCATCAAGATTAGTGTATAATGATATTGATTTTAAAAAAAAAATGTTTGGAAGGGTATAATGATATTGATGGTTTATGTTTTCACGTGACGAGATTTGGAAATTGAGGACAATAACCAAATGCACATGGGTCGTCAATGACAAGATTCCACATGCATTTACTGCTTGCTTTGCGATGGAAATCATCATATCGCTAATTTCTTATATTTATTGGATCACCGACCGCCGTCGGCTGATGTTGGTGATTCCGGCGGCAACTGGACATTCATTCATCCTTAATAATTCAATCTAAATTTTAATTGTAATAAATACTTTAAAATAAATTGAATTAGTTATTGGTCTTGCAGTGCAGTGTTTACTCCTTCCTTTCATCCTTTAATTTTGTGTCTCAAGACTGTTAAGTTAAAACTCTGACTGATAATATAACCTTGATTCAATTGGTACAAGCGATGCATCTTTTCTTTTTGGTCAATAATTCAAGCATTAATTTGACATCTATCAAATCCTGATTTGACATCTTTAAGTTGATTATATATGACAGACATTGAATATTCATATAAGTTCTGCGTTCGGGAATTGAAATTTCCAAAGCAAGAAATCGGCGTATCTGGATGGGATCGATAACCGAGTGGTGAAATACGCAAGATTCTGACTTTACAACGCAGAAATTATCCAAATGATTTTGAAATAATAGTAATAATTGAAAAAAGTTGAAAAGAGATGGCGCTTTCGAGAAGGATCATTCCACGTCACTGCTTCATAATAATAAATTATTATTATTATTATTATTATTATTATTATTATTATTATTATTATTATTATTAGAGTTAATTTCACTTTTGATCCTATAACTATTGGGGTCTTGTTAATTTCAATTCATGACTTTCAAAACTGTCAGTTTAGTACTTTATCTATTCAATTTTTATCAATTTTGATCACTTCAACCAAATTGGCTCACAAGAAAATATTAATAGGTAAAATAATAAGGGTATTTATAGAAGAAAGAAAAAGTAAAGTAAAAAGATTAAAATACTCTCTTTAATTTACCTATAATATTTTCAGGTGAATTTTGGCTTGCAATTTGACCGGAATGACAAAATTTGATAAAAATTGAATAATTAAAGTATTAAATTAACAATTTTGATTCTTAGATCGCAGAATTATTTAACACATAGTTTAGCTTCTACAGCTTTCCAGTATGATACAGCTATGTATTGGAATGTTATCCCACCTGATACTATTTCAGCTTATCTATGAATACAACTCATTGGTTGACCTTCAAAAAAAAAAAATTAACAATTTTGAAAATCATGGATTGGAATTAACAAAATCATAATAGTCATAGGACTAAAAGTGAAATTAAATCATATTATTATTATTATTATTATTATTATTATTATTATTATTATTATTATTATTATTATTATTATTATTATAAGCTTTCCAGCAAACTTTCCAGTTGGGACAACCAAGGAGGCAAGGATCGGTCTGTATTCGGCATTCACGGCAAAAACAGCACAGCAACAAAATGTGATCAATAACAATATAACATGGTCTCCCAATGTCAAATAAAGACAATTGAAAGCTAGTCTCTGTCTCTCCCATTTTTTGTTGATCTGATCATTTTATAAAAGAAACTAGAGATGAGGAGCATTATTTTTTGACAACTGGAACTACGCATCATACATTTGGTGGTGGCCATATCTTCCCAAACAACTCTTCCACCCGCTTTGCCTGATTGCTATACCCTTCCATTCCAGCAGTCAGAAGCTCCACAGCAGCCGGTCCCATAGCTGAGGCGAAGCTATATTGATCCCACGTCACAACCTGATCATAAACAGTGGTAGGATAGATTTAACTTTCACAGGGAGCAACACTTTTTGGTAATTATGCAAGCTACATATTGAGATGATACATTAAGTCCAATAAACAGAGCACCGAGCACCTAAAGAATTACAGAAATAGCGTTTCTTCAGGAACACACATTTTTTGGGACTTGTGTTATAATGTGAGCATAATAGGTCTATAAATTTAGCTGATTTGCACAAACATTAATACCTGAAATACGGTTACGTGGTCCAATGCAATAACGAATTAAAGAAGAGGGAATGGGAAAGTGCTGACCTCCTCTTTGGTAAAGTTATAGGCAGCAGCTGATTGTGGGGACAGCCTTCTTTCAAAAGAGTACTTCTCATCTGGGGGAGTTACAGATTCTTTAAGAGACTGCAATATCTTTAGTGGGGTAACAATGTAATCAACCCTGAAAATGAATTTAAAAAAAAAAAACAAAAAACAAACAAACAAAAAAGGAAAACAGAACTTGAGCATCATTGTGATTGCTTAGAACCACAAGAAATATTCCAAATGGCCAATAAAGGACAATCTTGAATACCCCAGAATGCTATAGACATCCTGCTTGTTCCGAATAGCCGCTGCCATCAACTTCGATTTATGCCCATATTTGTGGATGTAGTTATAAGCTTTTGTCACCTATAATGACATTACAACAACAAATTGGTTACATTAGGTTCAGCCTTCTGCATTGTAGGGATAAGATTGTATATCCCTGGAATACCATGTCACATGGTATCCCAACCAATCAAATTTAACCATTTTAGAGAGAGAAAAGGATTCATTGGTTGAATGATTATTGAATGAGTGAGAAAATATATTAATATTCATTCAGCGAATGAATCCTTTTCTCTTAAATGGTTTAGTTAATTGGACGGGAGACCAAGTAACGTGGTGTCCAGGGATATAAAATCCTATCTCCTGCAAAGTATTCAAAGAAGATAAAAGGTGAATGCATAAAAGAGCAATTTCTTTAGTGCAAATAGCTAGACAGTTCAAATCAAACATAGATTTCCATTTAGGCTCCTCTTGGATGCTTACAATTTGAGTTGCACAAGTTGGAAATCTTTCTTTTACTGGAAAAGAATAACTACAGAAGAATGCAAAGAGCAAAACTGACCAGAGCAGATCCAGGATCTTCTCCTCTTCGAAGTGCACCTTCTACTTCAGAGTCACCAGAATGGTTCCGTGCCCAATCCTGATATTTTTTCAAATAAAAGTACCATTACACCAGACCGGCAAAACATGGAATTTCTTGAAAGAGGCAAGGATTTACCCTCAGCCGACCAACAAAAATCTGAATGACAGAAGCACCAGCTTGAGCAGCTGCTGCAGCCTGACAAAAACTGAAAACCGAATACAAAATTTGTCAATCAAAAATCCCATGCCACTAAGCACTCCAGCATCAAAACAATCCACAAAACAAGGAGAGTACCAGAAATTCACTGTAAAAGATAATGAAATTCTGGTAATGAAACTCTGTGGTGAGCATAATAATATATAAATAATAAATGTTAACTCCAACTATTAACTTTGGCTTTTAGTTGAGACGGAACACACCATTCAATTCTCTGCATTTTCAAAAGTAACAGAAGCAATGGTGAAACAGGAAAAAGAAAGAAAAATATTTAGCTAGTTCACTTTTGGCAAGCATGATAGGCAAGCTACAACAGAAAAGAGTAGCAATCATGGAGGAAATGATAGTCAGTTACAAGCCCAAGTTGCAGTTGCTTCAGTGTTGAGAAAAGTTCCTTTTTGGTCCCCCAAACTATTGGCGTATGGCTACATTTGATACCAGACTTTGAAAATTTCCATTCGTCCCTGGACTTAAAACCTTGGACACTTTTGGCCCTCATTAATGGAAACCACCAAGTTGGCATGGAGAATCTCCATCAGACTTTAAAATGTCCACAGATTATCAAAAGTTCAACACTTTTGGTCCCCAAGCTAGCATTTTAGCTACTACTTGATAAAAAAGAAGTGATGCGATTAAAATAAGTCAATGACCATAATGTAAAAATCATCTGTCCATTATTTAACCCTAAATCCCTAATTAATCCTAAATACATAATTCAACAGCATATCCACTTAATATTTATTGTGATTATGAAGGAAGCTTTCATTACATTTGAACTAAATCAACTAAAAGTTCATCATGAAATATTTAGGGAGTCTATATGTCAATGAATTTTTAGTTGAAAAGATAAATGTGTATGCCAATTGTTATCTCTCAACCAAAAATTCACCATGTAGTATTTAACTAGTCTATAGCTAAGTGTGAAAAATGAATGGAATCAATGGATTGAGTTAGATTTGGGAAGTTAAAATATGGCTCGTGGAATATGGGAACTACCCGGTGTTAAGCCCATTTTTAAATTGATATGGGTGAAGGGCAGGTAAAATTTAGGCTGTCATAAGTTCAGGAAGTCCACATTTGACCCACTTTTCAAGTGACAAGTCTGATAGAGAGGGCATATGAAGACTGAGATGGCTAATGAGTGATGAAGATCACATACAACTGGATAACTACTTCAGTATAGGGGCTCTTGGATCTGGCTGCAATATCAACTGGGACTTGTCAGCAGAGACCTCAATTGGGGAAGAGAAGAAATCAGTGGCATGGTGAGTATTCTGTTTAATTTCCATAGCAGAGAGGTAGAGTCTGATTGTGATCAGACTGCAAAGTTATTCAAAAATGTGAAGGAAAAGAAAAAATATCATAGAACAGGGGACTATAATCCCGAATCAGAGCTGGAAATTCTCAACAGAATATCACATATTTCCGGTTAGGATGCTTTATTTACTATTCCCTCCATTCACAGGACCACCTTCAGAAGAAAACACATAAAAATTGAAATTTGAACAGATTATTTTAGCTTTAATTTCCTCATGATTGCATATATTTCCTTGAAATTTTATGAATTTACAGTAGTTGAGCTTCATCTTCTAAGGAACAAAGCTTGCTTTCAGAAGCTGTAAAATGGAGAAATTCAAAGGACAAAAGGGATTGTTTGGCCCCTATATAGGACCCAAGTAATCCACTTTTTATGTGGGCTAAATACAGGCAACCCCAGCATTTAATCCATATTTTAATGCCAGCCCATCAAATTGTGTGTGGTTCTTGAGCCAGCCTGTAAAATGTGTTTAAATTCCCAGCAACTATAGCAATGAATCTTAGTTGAAAATATACAAGGGTTCACTAGAGTGTTGAATATTTAGTTGAAAAATAATGAAAGTTATAGGATAAATATTAATCAAATACCAAAAAGTAAGTACAAGCTTGGTATAAATATATATATATATATATATATATATATATATATATATATATATATATATATGTATATGTATATATATTAATTTAGGTATTTGGGATCATTTAAGGTTAATAATGCAGAAAAAAAAAAAGCAAAAACAAAACAAAACAAAAAAACCACACTCACACACACACACACTCCTGGGTGAATAATTAGCTTATTTTAACCACATTCCCCCTTTTTTAATCCAATTCAATAGTAGCTAAAAGCATTGCATGAAGACAAAATGTCTAGCTTTTGATAGTCAGATGACAGCAGATGGAACTTATGAAAGCTTGATAGAGATTCTACATCCAAATTAACAAGGATCAAAAGTGTCCAACTTTTTATCGTATGGGGACTACTAATGGAAACATTTTAAGTTTGTTGTCAAAAGTGGCAATGCCCTGATGTCTGGGCACCAGAATAGGTATTTCTAAAGGATGAGAGATGCATTCTATACCTGTAAACGAAAGTCAAATGGGTCTGTATGCCCTCAGCTTCCAGCAACCTTGATGCCTCAATCCCCTAAAAGATGAACAAAGCATTGTCGGAGAAAAGTATAATGCTTTCATGCCACTTGTCTCATGTAAATTAAAGCAAAAATATTTCATTTCTGGCACTTACTTGCCAAGTTGCAGGGATTTTGAACAGCAACCTCTCTGGAGGAATTTCAATCCCATTGTACAACTTCAAGAGGTCATGCACCTGAAATCAAGTAAAGGTTGTTATTTCAATATTGGATACATCTAAACTACCTCTACTTTGCTTAAAATACAGGTAAACCCCTTTTGTTTGCAGTCTCACAAAACCTCCTCTATGACTAAAAATATGAAAAAGCAAAATACCAAAATTTATTTTCCTTTCAAAGATTTATTGCAAATTACAATGTATATTTGAAAGACAATATAATAAAAAGCATTCTCATAGCAAAAAAAAAAAAAAAAATGAAATTATCATACTTAACTAATTTAAATTTAAATAAAATAAAAATAAAAGGGAAGCCCATGCCCCCAGTGTACATGGGAATAGACAGGGTTTGTAATGCCCTGGGCCAAGATGTTAAGAATTTAGGTGAACTACAAATTCACATCAAATAATCACTTCCAAACTGCAATACTGTAACACAACATTGCTATACTCTGCTTCTTAACTATTTGTATTTCCTGTTCTCCAGTCCCACTAGAAAACTCGCTATAGTTTTAGCTCATTTTATGGGCAATGTTAAAAGCAAACAATCAGAGAGAAGGTGAAAGTGCACATTTTTCAGAAAATGTCAAATTATCATGACAGATTTTCTACTATGATGATAGTAGTTTAATGTTGAAACCATTAGTGAAAGAAGCCCACATACCCTCTCTTCTTCCCTGCCTCACGTCGAATTGTATTTTGTGCAACATATTATAAAAAGAGAGTCTCATAGTTCTGACTTCAAAGGGGGAGCCGAGGCCAATTTAGGGCAGCCAAAAATCTACTCCATTGAGATTTTGAGTAAAAACTGACGGTTGATACTAATAGCCAATATAGGAGAAAACTAAGACAGTTAAAGCATGTTGTCACACCTTCTCAAACTCCTAGCCAGTGTGATAATGATAACGCACCAAACAAATGGATTGTTTACTCAAGAAGAAAGGAAAGAAATCAAGAAATAAAAGGAAAGGGGAATCAGTCATCCAATCAAGTAGCAGATTTCCAGAATACAAACAAGGCATGAGTCAAGGGATTGTAGCAGATTTCAGGGATTGCAGCAGATTATCAGGAGAGAATTTTAGGGTGTTTACTTTTATAACATATATATGAGATTATAAATAAAGGAGTTCCCCTTAGTAATAGGCAGGCAGTAGTAATCATAAAATAAGAGCTTCTTACAGCTGGGCAAGACTATTTCTTGCTGGAGGATATTTTATCCTTGTTTCCTGGTTTCTTTTAATTCAATTCTCTGGTTGTTTCTTCCTCACAGCTCTTATCTCTAACAAATTGGTCCGACCTGCCGTGCAATGACCAACACACGAATGGATGCTCGTGTTGACTCATTAGAGAAGAGCCAGGAGGAAATGCATACAGAGATGGAGGTAATGCATTCTGAAATAAAAGATCGTATGGATGGGATAGAAGGTACGCTTGCCAAGATGTCCGAGCTACTCTTTTCACTACATGGGAAAAGGTCAGTAGAATCTAGTGTTTCTCCCGTGGTTGCTGCGGGCGGAAATTCCTCTTCAGATAATATCGATTCCGCACCGGTACCATTGCACCAGGTTCCTTCGGTCATTCCTTCGCTGCAGCCTGGCCGGTTGGAGATTCCAACATTTGATGGCACGGATCCGGTGGGATGGCTAGCACGGGCAGATCAGTACTTTGCCATTCAATGCACCCGTGAGGATTTGAAAGTGCCAACAGCTTTCATCAGTATGGAAGGACCAGCACTTCATTGGCTCCGTTGGCTTCAACAGCAACATCCATCTCTCAGGTGGAGTCAGTTTACAACAGAGCTTTTGGAAGAATTCGGTGGTGAACTTTCCGGGCCTCCGATTGAACAATTAGCCGCGCTTCGCCAAATTGGTACTGTAGACGACTTTGCTAATATATTTAGAGCCCGTGTTGCCCAAATTCCAGGTTTAGCGCCTCAAATTCAGCTAGGGTTGTTCCTCAATGGACTGAAGCCGGCAATCCGTGTGCGCCTCCGACCAAACGATGTGACAGATTTACGTACAGCAATAAGGGTTGCACGTGCTGTGGAACGTGAATTGGAGTTCCTCTCTTCTGGTCGTATTCCGGGACGAGTGGTTGATGAAGATGACAATTCTTATAAGAAGAAGACTTCTGCTGGGATTGGATGGTCTTCTGGGCCTACTAAACATTCTTCAGCCCATTCTTATGTATCTCCTCATCCTACGCCCAAGCCATTATCAAACAACCCTCACCAATCAGAAAAAAATCACACCACTTCATATAATTCCCAAACACGCTCTTTTGTTCCTCCTATTCGAAATTCCAGTATGAATACACCACAGAAGCAGGCTCGCCAATTCTCCCACCGCGAGTATATGGATATGAGAAACAAAGGTCTCTGCTTTCGTTGTCAGCAACCCTACAGTCCGATGCATGTATGTCCGAATAAGTCTCTACGAACTCTCATTGCAGCAGAAGATGAGGGGGATGATGTAGGTGAAGAACCATCCGAATTGGAACGCATCGACTCAGAGCACTTGCAACCAGATACAGTGCAATATTCATTTTTGGACCTTCCATTGACAGCCCTTGGAGGAATCAATGGCCCAAAAACCATGAAGTTTAGAGGCCAAGTTGCAAGTACAGAGGTCATCATTATGGTGGACAGCGGTGCTAGCCACAACTTCATCTCTCATAATTTATCTACCAAGTTGCAGTATCCATTGGAACCCACACAACAATTTGGAGTCAAGTTAGGGGATGGTCGTCGGGTTGAATCCAAAGGCAAATATTCACAGTTACCAGTTAATTTGGGTCCTGTCACAATGACATTGGATTGTTTTGTCTTCCCATTAGGAGGTGTTGATATGATCCTTGGAGTCGCATGGCTAGAAACTCTGGGCAATATCAAAGCAAATTGGGCAAGAATGACTATGACTTTCAAAGTTGGGGATCGCCTTATACAGCTTAGTGGGGACCCGTCTTTATCTCGACTCCCTGTCTCTGTCAATGCATTGGAGAACCCAAGCGATGTTGATTTCAGTTGTATATTGTGGGAGATTACTACTCTGCCTTCATCGAACAATGAGGATATAGAGATTTCTAATTCCCAACACTCTCAACTTCGTAATTTATTGCAGCAGCACTGCCAAGTTTTCGGTGATCCGCAGGGTTTACCTCCTTCTCGGGCTAATGATCATCAGATTGTTTTGAAGACAGGAACAACTCCAATAAGTGTTAAGCCTTACCGCTATGGTCATCATCAGAAAGATGAAATAGAACGAATGGTTGGTGAAATGCTTGCAGCAGGAATTATTCAACCTAGTTCCAGTCCATTTTCTAGCCCGGTGTTATTGGTGAAAAAGAAAGACGGTAGTTGGCGATTTTGCGTCGACTACCGAGAGCTCAATAAGGTAACGGTAGCAAACAAATACCCAATTCCAGTCATACAGGAAATGCTAGATGAACTTCATGGTGCTCGATACTTCTCCAAAATTGATCTCCGTTCCGGGTACCATCAGATTAAGGTTGCTACACAAGATGTGGCTAAAACTGCTTTCCGAACGCACTCCGGGCACTATGAATTTTTGGTAATGCCATTTGGATTGACAAATGCACCAGCCACCTTTCAAGCAATTATGAATGACATCTTCCGTCCCCTCCTTCGACAATTTGTGTTGGTATTTTTCGACGATATACTAATATATAGCACTACTTGGAAGCATCACCTGAATCATCTGTCAAGGGTGCTGGGAATACTATCTGCCCACCGGTTTAAAGCAAATGAAAAGAAATGCCAATTTGGTCGGACGACAGTGGAATACTTGGGGCACATTGTTTCACAATATGGGGTGGCTATGGATCCAGCAAAAATATCCTGCGTGCTGCGTTGGCCTCAACCTAAATCCACAAAGGCTGTTCGGGGATTCTTGGGTCTCACAGGCTACTACCGTCGCTTCATACAAAACTATGGGAATATAGCTCAGCCGTTAACTGCACTTCTCAAGAAGGATATGGCAGACAAATTTCATTGGCCCAATAAGGCGCAAATTGCCTTTGATGCGTTGAAGGCTGCTATGACTTCTGCACCAGTCCTAGCAACACCAGATTTTTCACAAACCTTCATTATTGAGTGCGATGCTTCAGGGACAGGTGTGGGTGCTGTTCTTATGCAAGAAACACGTCCGATAGCATACTTTAGCAAGGCCCTCTCGGGTCGAACCTTGGCAAAATCAGCTTATGAGAAGGAACTGATGGCACTAGTCTTAGCCATTCAACATTGGAGACCATATCTTGGCGGAAGAAAGTTTGTGGTTCGCACTGATCATAGTAGTTTACGCCACCTCATGCAACAACGAGTTACCACCCCATCACAACAAAATTGGGTAGCCAAGCTAATGGGTTATGACTTTGGGATCGCTTACAAGCCTGGCAAAACAAACAAGGCGGCTGATGCTTTATCCCGACAACATGAAGAGTTAGAGTTATCGGCAGTATCCTTACCTTTTTGGTTAGATTGCGATGTCCTTGAGGCTGAAATTTCACGGGATACCAATTTAAAACTCATTAGGGATCGATTGGAGCAAGACCCCACTAGTCAGCCACCATTTCAGCTTGTTAATGGGCGGTTGTTTTACAAAGGGCGCATTGTCATACCAGCTACCTCGCCATGGATACCAAAACTATTGGAGGAATTCCATTCTACACCTACAGGAGGTCACTCGGGGGCTTATCGCACTTACCGTAGACTGGCTGCAAGTGTATACTGGCAAGGAATGATGAGACGTGTCCAGCAGTTTGTCGCAGAATGCCTCAGTTGCCAGAAAAATAAGTATGACACCTTGGCCCCTGCTGGCTTACTCCATCCGTTACCTATACCATCAGCAACTTGGGAAGATATTGCTATGGATTTCATCACCGGACTACCTCGATCAAATGGGCTGGATTGCATATGGGTGATAATAGATCGCTTCACTAAATATGCCCATTTTGTGGGGCTACGACACCCGTTCACCGCCAAATCACTTGCTGACATCTTTATGAAGGAGATTGTTCGCCTACACGGAGTACCACGATCCATAGTAAGTGATCGAGACTCGGTATTCTTAAGCAATTTCTGGAAGGAATCCTTTGCCAAGCTCGGAACTAAGCTGCGAATGAGCAGTGCTTACCATCCGCAAACAGATGGCCAGACCGAGGTCCTTAATCGTTGTCTAGAACAATATTTGCGATGCTTTGCTTCTGAACAACCCAAACAATGGGGACGATATCTTCATTGGGCCGAGTATTGGTACAATACTTCGTTTCAAGGGGCTGTTGGGATGTCACCTTTTCTTGCCGTATATGGGCGACCCCCTCCGACTTTGCATCAGTACTTACCAGGAGAATTCAAGGTAGCAGCAGTGGCTGAGGAACACATTGATAGAAATGAGCTTCTAAGACAACTCCATCACAATTTGGGGCAAGCACAAAGCCGTATGACAAAGGCGGCAAATACTAAACGACGCGATATGCAGTTCGAAGAAGGTGACAATGTCTTACTAAACCTTCGGCCGCATCGCCAATCATCAGTACAACGTCGCATATACCAGAAACTCGCTCCAAGGTACTATGGGCCATACACTATTGAGAAGAAACTAAGTGCAGTGGCTTACAAGCTAGCACTACCAACTTCAGCCAGAATACATCCCGTGTTTCATGTGTCACAACTTAGGCGTGTCACGGGCCACCACCCTGCAATCACTGAACTTCCAGCAGACATGGCAGTAGAAGACCAAGGGTATATTCCTAAGGATATTCTAGGTACTCGACTCCACAATGGGGTACCACAAGTTTTGGTGCAATGGGAAAATCTGCCCCAGGATGACGCGACTTGGATGGATAGTTCAGATTTTCACGGTCAATTTCCTAACTCTAGCCTTGGGGACAAGGCTACTTTAGGAGCGGGTGGCAATGATAACGCACCAAACAAATGGATTGTTTACTCAAGAAGAAAGGAAAGAAATCAAGAAATAAAAGGAAAGGGGAATCAGTCATCCAATCAAGTAGCAGATTTCCAGAATACAAACAAGGCATGAGTCAAGGGATTGTAGCAGATTTCAGGGATTGCAGCAGATTATCAGGAGAGAATTTTAGGGTGTTTACTTTTATAACATATATATGAGATTATAAATAAAGGAGTTCCCCTTAGTAATAGGCAGGCAGTAGTAATCATAAAATAAGAGCTTCTTACAGCTGGGCAAGACTATTTCTTGCTGGAGGATATTTTATCCTTGTTTCCTGGTTTCTTTTAATTCAATTCTCTGGTTGTTTCTTCCTCACAGCTCTTATCTCTAACAGATAACTAGTAGAAAGCTCACAAAACAAAAGTTTTTATTGTTTTAGATGCACATTCACCATATCTCACTAATGCTCACACACAGATCATGCACAATTTAAAATTATAAATCATTTCAACCATTTGTTCTGATCCTTCCACTGCATATAGGCACAAACAAGTTCTAGAAAGACTGAGACCACATACATCTAGATATGAGTTTATTCAGGTGATGCAAGATACACAAGGATCAGCTAAGGCAATAAAACTGATATTTGAAACAAATTTTCACCTTTAGAACAATGCCATGCGTGTCATATGCAAGACGAGCATCAACTTCAGTAGAAACACGACCAGGCACAAGTTTTGCTAGATCACCACCAACATTGACCAATGCCTGTATTTTCAAAAGTTTCATTAAAATTATGTGTATACAACCCCATGTATATGATAATCATTATACAGAGCATATTTCATTTCAATTTGCAAAAAGTCCAACCTTGTTAAAGAAACAAGACATTCGTGCATCCTTGTCCTCCAACCCATAACACTCCTGATCTGCTAAAGCAGTGTCCACAGCACTCTGCATCCAATTTTATATCCACATAGCATTTAAAGAATTAGCATCCATGTTGTGGTGAAATTTCAAAATTTTTATCTGGTCAATGAGAGTGCATGTCAACTATATAAACCAATGCTTCACAATTCTTTTACAAAACCATGTGCACATTAATATATAATTTTTTTTGATACATCTGGCCAATGAGTGTATAACTGCAAGGATTTGATAGCTATTTTGATTAGTAGATTAGCACCTTGAATTTGGTATCAGGAAGGCTGCAGATGCCTAAGAGTAGAGATGAGCTAACAGTAGCAGCAGTTGGTGGGAACCTGTAAACGGAAGTTTATATATTGTAATCCAGTATCAGATCAATAAACTGCTAAATTAAACAATCAAAAATTTAAACAGCATTAATCGATTTCCTAAAAGGCAAAAATGTATTTAGAAACTAGAAAGAGGCGAATTGTACTTCTCGAAATCATCGAAAACTACAGTATCTGGAACGATCTCACTGTAATTCGTGACCGCATCCAATTCAGTAGTCAAACCTGGTAACATGAAATACCGGCAACAATTACTACATGCATCCAAACTAAAATAAACTACAAATACGAGTAAAAAAATAATGTTCATAAATTTTCGAATCTGATCATATTATCAACAATCAGATACAGATAGAGCGAACCTGTGTCCAGTGAAGAAGAGAATCCAGCAGAAGCTCGGATGACAGGAAAGCATGGCTTCGAATTGAAGGAGAGACTCGGTTTCGTAGACTGAGCTGCGAATTTCAGTTTCCTCTCCTGCTCGATATCGTTTCGCCGCGGTCAAAGATACCAATTCAATGCGTATACAAATATAAGGAAAACATACAAACAATGTAAACACTAAACAGAGAAGAGAGATACCTGAGAAGCTGAAGAGGAGCGGGAGGAGGAGAAAGCATAGGAGAGTGGAGAGTGCAATGTAGTCGACATTTTCAATGCGGATATTGAGTGAACTAGCAGAGTAATGAACAAACTAGATTGGAGTTTTTATACAGTTATTATCCCCTAATAAATATGTCCTAACTTGGTTTATTATGTCTGTTTTATTGTAATTGGTACCCGTTGGCCCTGAGCTCCTAACCAATGAATATATATACTAATTTTTTTATGTGATTTGCATAAATGAGGTAATGTTCAATGATTATTTGTTTATTTGAATTGGTAATTTAAAGTATATAAATGGAAAAATTGTAAAAAATGTCCATCTATAATATGTCAATCAATGTCACCCCTGAATTATGAGTGGTGTAAATGTTGCCCCTCAATTATTAAAATGGTGCACATATAACCCCTCCCGTAATAGACCTGTGGTTCCCCATCGCTGTCCATCGTGGGTACTTCGAATCGAGGGAGGGAAAAAACAACTAAATTACATATTTACTTCGACTTAACGTTGTCGTACACTAACGGGGAACCACATGTCCGTTACGGGACGGGCTATATGTGCACCGTTTTGATAATTGGGGGGCAACATTTACACCACTCATAATTCAGGAGTGACATTGATAATTGGCATGTTATAGAGGGGCAATTTTTACAATTTTCCCTATATAAATTTAAGATAATATATGAGAAATTGATTATAATTGTCACTAAAGTAAATGTTTGCAATTTTGTAATAAGGCTAGTCTAAATACTTAGTATTAAAGTGATAGTCTAAATAAATATTACTTTTGGTTTAAATTTCTCTAATTCTTCTTAATTCTCTTTTGGGTAGCATTGCCATTGTTTTCATCTTCATTATATGTCCTTTTTTTTTTTTAATTGATAGTGTGTCATGTGCAATTAGGTTACTAGTGGCCAGGGTTGTAAAAATCCTGTCTAGGCACCGAGTAATAGGCGCCTAGGCGCTAGGCGCCCCTAGGCTGTGGCGATTTCCCCCCTAGGCTCCCGCCTAGGAGACCGGCCGCCTAGCGCCTAACTCGTCCGATTACGCCGAGTTAACTCGTCAATTTCTGTGTGTGTGTGTGTGTGTGTGTGTGTAATATGACATATATGCACTTACACACGTGCACTGTTTTCTTTTTTTCAGTTAGCCGCCTAGGCGACCGCCTAGGCCGTCTAGACGCTAGGCGCTACTCTACCACCCGACTAGCGCCTAGCGCCTATTGCAACCATGCTGGTGGTAGATAGAGAGATTCATCATGCAATGAGATTATGGTGTAAGAAAGCTTTAGATTTGCCTTGCTGTGTATATGACTGAGATTTTAGTTATAATCATGGTTGCAGTAGGCGCTAGTCGGGCGCCCGGACAACGCCTAACGCCTAGGCAGCGCCTAGGCGAAATCTAGGCGGCGCTAGGCGGACGAAAAAAAAAACAGTGGTAGACTTGCAGTTTGACAATTTTAATGAGATTGTTTTCAACATTTAATCAAATAACACATCCAAATAAATGAATTTATGAAATTCATAAGTCATAACATCAAAACAATGATTTTCAAAAAAAAAAGACATTAAAACAATATTAAAAATTAAAAATACTCAAATGTGAAATACTCAAATACTTCAATCATCCAAAGATTCAAAGTATCAAACTAGTCTACGAGTGTATATATGTCATATTATATATATGTATGCGCGCGCGCACATACACACACACACATATATATAATAAAAAATAGGCCGAGCGGATCGGGTTAACTCGATCGATATTTAGTAGTTGTAGTTTTACCCATACATGTTTCATGTGGTGTGAGATGTGTGTTGTAGGTTATCATGTGAAAGTATTGAACAAAATATTAATATTTATTGTATTTGTATAAAATACTTGGTAAATAAATATATATAACATGTTTTGTATTATAACTTTGATATTTAATTACAAGATAATGTAAAAAGAAGACAATCACCAATGTAGTGAATATAATAAATTAATAAATTTGAAGGTAAGGAATTTTTGAATTGTAGAAAATAAAGCTAATATAACTAATGAATTATATTTCTTTTAAATTTTTTTAAAATGAATAATTTTTTTTTAAAAAAATAAAGCATTATAGACATCTAATTCTAAATTAATTAACTGCATCTGTATTATTTTTTTGTAGTTACTAATTTATTTAATTTAATAAGAGTAACAAAGTGTCGTACATACTTTTCATCAACAATAATGAAATCAATGATTTTTTTTAAAAAAAAAATTTATATTCCTTGTTGAGACAAATTGTTTTGAGAGTTTGTCAATGACAATTGCTACAATTGTTGTCAATAGAGGATGATAATAAATAATTCAAAATTTATGGTTATAATAGATATTGTTATAATGATATAGTAAAAATTAACTTACAAATTTCTTTAGAAGTTTTCATGCATTGATAACATTCTGATGTGTAAACTTGTTCAATTGGAGCTAGTAGGATGTTAAAATTGTCAATTATTTGAAAATGGTCCTACCGTTTTAGAGCCATGTGTAATTGTATTTATGATCAACAACTTTGTAGTAAGGCCGTGCATGTTTGACAATGATGTAAGAACAAATTTATCTGATAAAAAAATAATAATATAATATTTGTAAAGCAATGTACAATTGTACCATTATAAAAAAAAATACAAAAATTAATACCATGATGACCTAAATCATTCAAATAATGCAAAAGCATAATTCAAATATTAAGTTTTGTTTTAAATAATCAAAAGAAGATTAATTAAATGTAAAAAAAAAAAAAAAAAAAAAAAAAAAAAAAAAAAAAAACTTAACATAATTTTTATAAAAAAAAAAATATTCAAGAAAATCAAATGATTTTTAAAGTTCATAATTTATAATCTTTGAATGCTATGTATTTAGTCGGGCTAATTATTTGACCAAAGTTTATGTTAAATTTTATATTATTATATATATTTTTTAATACATTTAACTTATTCATAATATATGTTTAACAATTATACCAACTCTAATTGGGATGGGGTTTGAACCTATGACCTTTCTTATATAAATTAATGAGTATGTTAAGAATAATAAATAGTTAACGGAATATTCCATTACTAAAGTGTATACTAACGAAATTTAGGATTATTTAAGGGAAGAAAATAATATAATAGAGGATAAATAAGAAAAATCATTAAAAAAAATACTAAAAATCAAAATAATATGATCTATTCATTTTAAGAAACAAGTACTACCGACATTTTTTTGTTTCAGTTAAGGGCCTAACATTATTGGCTCTTATTAGATTTGCAGATTATATATATATATATATATATATATATATATATATATATATATATATATATATATATATATATATATATATACTAGTTCTTTTACGCGCTTTGCGTGAATGAGATAATGCCCAATGATTATTTTTAAATAAGTATTTCAAAGTATATCAATGCAATATTATATACGATATGTTTATACATAGATAAATAAATTTTGAATTTGTTTATTTAAATCGTTAATTTAAAGTATATAAATGCAAGATAATATATGAGAGATTGATTATAATTGTCACTAAAATAAATGTTTACAACTTTATAATAACACTAGTCTAAATATTTAGTCTTAAAGCGATAGTCTAAATAAATACTACTTTAGGTTTAAATTTCTTTAATTCTCCTTAATTCTCTTTTGGGTAGCGTTGTCATTGTCTTCATCTTCAGTATATATCCTCTCATTTTTTTTATTAGGACCCCCTTGGCCGGGTTCACCAGTCATGTGATTAATGTTGAGGGATGCACTTCCTTGCTAGTTGAGATGGGCACCTGGCCACATGTAAAAAAGTTGGAGATGGAGTTTGTAGTTATTGCTCTGGAATGCGCACACAATTATTATACTCGGTCGGCCGAGCCTGGAGGACTTGGGCACCTTAGTTTCTATTGAGCACTTATGTATGAAGTTTCCCACACCGACTAGCGTTGGAGTAGTGCGGTGTGATCAAAAGTTAGCTTGAAACTGTTATCTACAAGCCTGTCGGAAGGTGAGGCAGGGCTCTTTACGGATTAATACGATCGCCCATCAAGTGGCCGAGCGAGCAGCCAAGCGCCGTGCGCCGGCTGTCGAATTGGAAGAGATCATCATAGATCTTGACTGCCCAGAGAGGAAGGTTAGGATTGGAGTCGGCTTGGCTGAACCCGTTAAGCAAGTAGTCATCCGGGTGCTGAGGAACTATAAGGAGATCTTTGCATGGGGACTTGAGGACATGCCCGGGGTCGACTGGTTGATCATCACCCACCGGCTTGCTGTCGATCTTGGTCTCAAGCATGTTGTTCAAAAGAGGAGGTATTTTGTAACACCCCAGATTTTCGAAACTTTTTAAAACTTATATAATAAAGGTAAATTCTCATTAAATCCCAAAACTGAGTATTACTAATCATAAGAGTGCGGGGTGCTATACCACATCTGAGCTGGAGAACTCAGATGCACAGGCTAAACTAACTAAATATCCTCGATACATCACCATGGCACGCAGGCCGAAAGGAAAACTATCTATCTAATCCAAGTTCTTCTAGCGCGCTCCGGAAGCTAATCATCTGTGCCTGAAAGCCAAATATATATGTTCAGCGAATGATGCTGGTAACCCACTCCAACGCGTTGAAATACAATATAGGTAAATATATATAGATATACGAAAACCATTTTGAAGCAGGAAGATATATACTTAGGAGACTCTAGCTTTAAAAGCAGGAATAGACTCAACAGGTAGGGATAAGCACATTAAACAAAGGATAATCAGTTATATAGGGATAATATCATAAAGAACATGTATCTAAGGTCACCGTTCACTTTCAAATCATTCACATCATCATTCAATCAACATTCATGTCACACAAGCACACTTTGGTGGCTCCACGGGACCAATCGCATGCCCCAAACACGAGGGTTAGCGCATATAGCGCTAACACGGCCCCGCAACACCCTACCTCATACCGCAGCATGAAGGGGTTGATCGCAACCAACCGTATAGACCGTCGATAGTTTCAACGGCGGCGGATCACATGTAACACCCCGTGTTACGGCCCCTAAAACCATTTAATTGATCAAT